CAGTTCAGACCACAGACAGGGTAATTAGCCACAATGGAGAGATGCAACACACACAAGTTAGAGTCCCATTTAAATACATTCTGCAAACCTTCCAGGAGCAGCAGCATTAGTATCCTTCATTTATGTAGCAACTAACAACTGCATCTTTAACAAAAGGAAAAAAATGAAAATAATACAACTAACACAAACTGATGCTGCATAAGTACCAGAGTGATGCATAGGCAGTATTAGTTGCTGAGTAGCAGCAGGTTCTATATCCAGGATAATGCTCTCTTCCTTATCGAATGTGCAATTAATTACAGATGTATAAATATACATTACATAAAATTAAATATCCCTGTAAATTAGATATCAAGCAGCAGAAAGTAAAGTCTTTGCTTTGAAAACACCTCACTGAACAAGTAGTAAGGATTTTCAGCATGGCTATGACAAACCTTCCCAATGATTTGGAAATCCTCTCCCTTCCCTTCTGCATCCCAAAATGAAGGATTCTGTTTAAAAAAATCTTAAAGTGCATCTCTAAAATACAGTACCAATTCTTGTAAAAATAAAATGGCTTGTGGAACTTAAACATTAGTGTCATATTTTCACTGGCCTTTGGGTAATTTCTTCCCTTATTTAAGTTAAAAACCCAAACTGGAGATATGTCTGAATCTTCCTCCACAGGACATCCTTTAGGATCCGCACCCATGTTCAGAAGGTTGGCTGGCCCTTGACATGGTGCCCGGTTCTCAGCAGCAAGTCCCAAGAGCTGACTGACTCCAGGGCTGGCTGCATGCAGGCAAATCACTATAATAGCTCTTTTGTATTTTTAAAATTCAGGAGGGGTGACAGTTTTCCCTGCCTCATCTATTTTTTTTTCCATGTTAAACTCTTTGAGCTAAATCAGGAAGCCTGTACAAAAATATGAATTTCTATTCATTTAAAAAAAAATCTGCTTCCAACTTTTAAGAGCCAAGGAACACTGCCATTCCAGAACACAGCTCAATTTCCTAGTCTCTCTCTTTGGTGACT